TCGGCCAAACATATTTCAGTTTGATCGTAATACTCGACATTAATGGTATGAACATCAAAATTTGGGTCTCTATAATAAGTCTCCTTGCTAGAATGTTTCATTTGCTCTTCTTCTCTTATTAATCGTTCATACCTAATCAAGTTTACCCTTAATTGGAAAAGATTTGAAAATTCCATGTCTTGGAATTTTTTTTTAAAATCAAAGTTTAGACAATTTTGAGTGATTTTGACAAATTTCTTTTTGAGCAAAGGTACATAACACTTACTTCTTGCTTTTTTAAACTTTTGAAGGAAACTTTCTGCCCATTCATTTGGGATTTGAGGTAGATTCGCCAAATAGGTCAAAGTAACTTCAGATTCAGTCTTGTAAAATTGAGCATAGAATAATTGTTTCAATTGTTACCATGTTTGAACAGAGTTTGCTGGCAAATTAATGAATCAGGAGAAGGCTACTCCTATTAATGAACTGGAAAACCTCATTTTATGGTAGTCGGTTACTTCACTACTCTGCAGTGTGAATCACCCTATGTATTCTAAAGTAGATACTTTCCCTAAACCAGTTAATAATGAAAATTCTAGCACCTTGTACCCTCTAGGCCATGGATANTCTGCAGTGTGAATCACCCTATCTGTTCTAGAGTGGACACTTCTCCTAAACTAGTGAATAATGAAAATTCTGGCACTTTGTACCCTCTAGGCCATGGATATGCTTGATCTACCCAATTAGGATATGGCTTTGTGTGAGTAGGCCTAATGACATGACGTACCCCAAGAGCCATTTGATCTTGTACTATCTCCATGATTTGATTTCTCAACAAGACATTGGGATCATATAGAATTCCTATGGTTGGTTTAATGGTTGATTTGCTTGAGGCCTAATATTTGGTCCTTAGTTGGCAAAAAAATTGCAATTGTTTGGTCCGTTATTACCATTAAATTAAGTATTCAAACTATCATTAACGCTCGGGACGTTCTATCCATCATCCAGGACATTATCTCTTATAATTGAATTACCTCTGAGG